CATTGTTAGCGCTGAAAATCTATAGCATGCGTTATGTGCACTATTTTCACCACTGACTAATATTTTCAGCACTGACAGTGATTTTTGGAACACAACTGTAGTAAGATATATAAGTAACAGAGATTATATATGAATAAAATATATAAGTAAAGATGTTACTTACATCTCTGCGAGTTTGGGTACTGTAGTGTATGGAGACGGTTCCCTAGTCGCGTATGAATACATGGACATGCGCACGGCGCGGCGTAGGGATACACACGAAAGAGAGTTGTTGGTTAAGAGACGGCTATTAGATTGTACCGAGATAAAGCACAGCTAATATTATTATCTAGGCTAATCCAGGAGTAGTCATTAACCCGCTACCTCGGATAGAGACTAACAGTAAGAGACACGACATATTTGGCGACGAGGATAAACAGAAGCCAGGAAGAAACGAATCTCATACGTATAAGAGAAAGTGTGAGGTTAAAATGTCCACGGTAGGTAATCTAAAGCCGTTCGATCCAGCAATAGACGACATCGAGGTATGGATTCGCACTTTTAAAGCATTTTTGCTAGCGAATAACATGGATTACTCTCCAGTAAGTCCAGAGGAGGAACCAAGTTCCGCGAAAACATTGATGGCAAGGAAATGCGTAGCGACCTTATTGTCCACACTAGGCTTGTCGGTAGTAGGAACATTAATATCCTTACTTTCTCCAGAGGAACCGGAAGAAAAGACCCTGGAAGAATTGTTCTCAAATCTCAGAACACATTACAAACCAGCACCGAAAGCATTGGCGGAAAGATATCGGTTCATGAGCAGGAAACAAAACCAAGGAGAATCAACTGCTCAATACCTCGCAGAACTTCGTCGTCTAGCCATAAACTGTAAGTTTGATACAGATCTTGATACACGTTTGAGAGATCAATTTATATTTGGTTTGCGTAACGAAGTAGCGCAAAAACAGCTATTCACCAGACCGGATGAAATAAAGCTAGAAGAAGTTGTGGCTATAACCACAGCACATGAGCTCTCGGACCAAAGCCTGTCACTTATTCGTGGAAGTACTCATCAAAGGGAAGAGGTCAACAAAATAAGGAATATATCAAGGCAGAAAGAGAATCAAGACAAGAAGAATGGAAAATCTTCGAATAATTGGAAATCCAGGAAGGAATGTACAAGATGCGGCTCAACGGATCATAATCCATATAATTGTCCACACAAGGATTCCAAATGTTACGCGTGTGGGAAACAAGGACATTTGGCCTGTAAATGTAGAAACGGCTCACAAAAACAAGGTCAAGAAACGAAGAAACAAATTAAACAAAACAACATGATAGATATTCGAACAGCAGAGGTACTATCATCCAGTCAATCAGCGCAACGGAAAATATGGATTACTGTAAAAGTAAATGGAATTCCTCATCGGATGGAAATGGATACAGGATGTGAACGCAGCATAATTTCAAAGGAGTTTTGGGAAGAACTAGGCAAACCTGCCTTAGCCAAGTCAACACTGCAATTCAGAACGTATACGAACCAAATTTTTTATGCTATGGGAGAATTGGAATGTAATTTAAACTACAACAACAAAACTATAAAACACGTCTTTCCAATAACACGAGGCTCGTCACTATTCGGTCGTGATTTACTGCATAAAATTAATGTAAATTGGTCAGAAATAGTAGCTCAATGTAACTATATTGATAAAAGTTTATCATTACAGGAAGTTCTGAAAGAATTCGCAGACATATTTGAAGAGCCGAAAGGATATATCAAGAACTTCAAAGCAAAAATAATTCTTAAGGATGATGCAATACCTAAATTCATGAAGCCACGCCCTATTCCATACGCAATTCAAGAAAAAGTAAATCGAGAACTGGATCTGATGGAGAAATCAGGAGTCATTAAACGAATTGATCATAGCGAATGGGCGTCTCCTTTAGTAGTAGTACCTAAACCAAATAGAAGAGTGAGAATAACCGGGGATTTAAAAAACACGGTAAATTCACACGTTACACAATATCCTCTTGCAACGCCAGAACAAATTTTCCATACAGTCAGCGGAAGTAATATATTCTCTAAACTGGATGGCAACAATGCATATCATCAAATGGAAGTAGAGGAGGAATGCAAAAAGTTCCTAGTAGTGAACACCCATCGGGGATTATATCAGTATAATGTACTCCCACAAAGCATTGCATCCTCACCAGCCATTTTCCAAGAATTCGCGGATAAAATGCTACAAGATGTTCGGGGTACAAGCACCTACATCGATGATACGCTCGCAGGTGGAAAGAGTGAAAAGGAACACTTGCAAATTTTACGAAGAATCTTCAAGCGAATGCGAGAATACAACTTTTATTTGTCAAAGGAGAAATGCGAATTGTGCAGACCACATGTGGAGTTCCTGGGACACATTCTATCGGAGAAGAGCATCCACACGGATCCAAACAAGATAGCAGCCATAGAGATTATACAACGTCCACAAAACGTTACGGAGCTAAAATCCTTTTTGGGTCTAGTAAACTTTTATAATAAGTTCGTTCCAAATTTCGCAAGTTTTTGTGAACCTCTTTACAGACTGACTCGTAATGAGGTGGAATGGCAATGGACAAGTAAATGCGAAACAGCATTTAATCGTGTAAAAAGTACTCTCTCTGGTGCCCCAATCCTTACAAATTTCGATCCAGATCTAGCAATCGGAATTAGCTGCGACGCGTCATCAATAGGAGTAGGTAGCGTACTTTTCCACCGATGTCAAGAAGGAGGGAAGATGATTGAAAGGCCAATAGCATTTGCATCCCGGGTGTTGTCAGCAGCAGAAAAAAACTATTCTCAAATAGAGAAGGAAGGACTCGCTATTATATGCGCATTGAAGAAGTTTTATAGGTATCTTTGTGGTCGTCGCTTTATTCTTATAACTGACCATAAGCCACTTTTATCCATGGGTCCAAAGACATCATTACAACCATATGCAGCAGCAAGACTTCATCGTTGGAATGTATATATGTCACAATTTGAGTACGACATAGAATACAGACCCACAGTAGAACATGGTAATGCGGATGCGTTATCGAGACTACCGGATAAAAATATACCAAGGGAAGAGGAAGATTCAAAGGATATAAAATTGATTACTACGGAAAACATAGAAATGTTGCCAGTAACGCTTAAGGAGATACGCACTGCTACAGCAAGGGATAAGGTACTCTCAAAAGTATTGTCATTCATTAGTAGTAAATGGCCAAACTCAATAGGAAAGGAAGATGAAGATCTACACAGCTACTTCAGGAAACGAGAAGAGTTAACTATACAACAAGGAGTAATAATGTGGGGGATCAGAGTAGTCATCCCTTACACACTTCAGAAGAAGCTTCTTCAAAGTCTTCATGAAACACACACTGGAATTGTCAAAATGAAAGGCCTAGCAAGACAGTACATATGGTGGCCAAATATGGACAAGGAGATAGAAGACATTGCAAAAAGCTGTACCAGTTGTTGTGCTAGCAGGCCGGATCCACCAAGCGCACCGTTACACCCATGGCAGTTTCCAGAAAAACCATGGCAGAGACTTCACATCGATCTCGCAGGACCATTGCAGAACAGGATGTTCCTGATAATCATGGACGCACATACAAAATGGCCAGAAGTATACGACATGCATGGGGACACTACGAGCAAGAAAGTAATTGAGAAGCTGAGAGACTGTTTTGTGAGATTTGGTATTCCAGAACAAATAATCTCAGATAACGGAAGACAATTCGTATCAGCAGAGTTCAAGAGATTCTGTAGGAACAATGGGATTCGACACACAACGAGTTCTGCGTACCATCCACGAACCAATGGAGAAGCGGAACGATTCGTACAAACGTTCAAAAAAGCAGTATCTAAGTCAGAAGGCGAATTAATTTTCCGGGTGCAACGCTTTCTTTTTAGTTACAGGTGCACGCCACACACGACTACAGGGACATTACCAGCGGAGTTGCTCATAGGACGCAGACCACGGAATGTATTCGATTTAGTAAAACCCGATGTCCAGAGAACAGTAGCAGCAGCACAAGCCAGACAAGAAAAGAATTATAATTCTCGAGTAAGGAATCGCAAGTTCGAAGAGGGAGAAAAGATTTGGGTTCGTACATATTACAAAAACGAAGCCAAATGGTCACTAGGAGTCATTGTTAAAGTTTTGGGACCAGTAACGTATCTTGTTCGAGTTGGAGATCAATCCTACAAGCGTCATGTGGACCAAATTTACAATGCCATGCCTATTCGAGTTAATCCGGGAGAGGAAGAAGAGGAAGAAGCCTTACCGGACAATACGCAGATCAAGCAGGAATCAGAGTCAACACCATCAGGAAGTGACGAGGAGCAAGAAAACTTCGAAACAGCAGAGTCCTCAGATACTTCTGAGGCGGAGCAACCATCTCCACAACGATCTCTGGAACCGGAAACTGTACCATCAGGTCAACGCCCGCAACGCAATAGGAAGCAGCCAAACCGATTGGAGTATTACACAAAAGGGAATCCAAAAGGGTATACTTCCAAGAAAAAAGGGAAGGAGATGTAGTGTATGGAGACGGTTCCCTAGTCGCGTATGAATACATGGACATGCGCACGGCGCGGCGTAGGGATACACACGAAAGAGAGTTGTTGGTTAAGAGACGGCTATTAGATTGTACCGAAATAAAGCACAGCTAATATTATTATCTAGGCTAATCCAGGAGTAGTCATTAACCCGCTACCTCGGATAGAGACTAACAGTAAGAGACACGACAGGTACAGTAACTAAAGAACTTAAAAATATATGTATATATTCAGCTATTATA